CCCGCGTTTACGAGAAGTCTGTGGAGCCTGTGAGAATTGAACGCGGTGCGTCGTGTGAAACATATTAAGAACACGCAGTTCCAAAGCCCTCTCCTAGATGGGCTGGTTTCTGGGGGCGGGGTGGAGGGGAGAGGGAGGGAGAGAGAGAGAGAGAGATGGAGGGAGGGAGGGAGGGAGGGAAAGCAATGCCGCTGGTTTATCTGCCGTGTCACCGCTCAGTCACCGGCTGTGTCACCTGGCCCCGCGGCTCCCTGGGCCAACGGGGAAGTTTCTCGTAGGTTCCCATCCCACGGGCATTCCTGGGCGCCGCCTCCCGAGTGCGTAGGCCACTTCCTGGAGGCCCGGAATGCCTCGTGAAGATAAGCAATTGGCCAGACCTAACTACCTGGCATGCCTGCAAAGGCCTTCTCCTGGCCCTGGCCGGGCTGAAGGGTCGGGGGGGGGGGGGGTGTTCCATCCCGGTCAAGGGCACGTAGGTACAGGTCCCCCAGCCCCGGTAAGGGGGCAGGTGCAGGAGGCAGCCAGTCGGTGATTCTCCCTCACATCGATGCTTCTCTCTATCTCTCTCTCTCTCTCTCTCTCTCTCTCACCCTCCCTCTCTAGGAACCAACGGAAAAAAATATCCGGGGAGTGAGGATTTAAAAAAAAAAAGAAATTAAGAAAGAAAAAAAAAAACACAAAAAACCACACACAAAGGCTTTATTCCCATAAAAGCCACCCTTAATGTTTTGGTTTGGCCAGGGAAGGGAAGAATTCATGAGCGCTTTTCCAAACAGCCAAACACAAAGCCTCCTAAGCTGCGCGGGGAGACGTTTGTGTACTGTCTACCAGAAGGCTATTTCCTGCCGAGACACGGTCCCCGGGAAAAGCCTGCGAAGCAGAAGGCTCCCTGGGAAAGAGCGGCGTAGGGAGGAGGAGAGTTTCAGTGAAGAAGGAGCTGCCCACAGAACCTTTAGGAAGTTAAGATTCTTATTAAGTCAAGTCTACCAGCCAAATGTCTAACGTCATTAAATATGGACACACAGTGCACAACAGCAGTGGAGTATGGTGCCTACGTGGGTCTTCGCTAAGAGAGAGAGAGAGACAGCAGCCCTGTGCTATGCGGCCTAACAGAAACTAGCAGGCTGGTGCACAAAATTCGTGCACGGGCGGAGGGGGGGTTGTCCCTCAGCCCGGCCTGCGCCCTCTCCAATCTGGGCCCCCTCGGGGGACGTCCGACTGCTGGTTTAGGCCGGATCCCACAGGGATGCGACGTCTCTCTCGCAATCTGGGACCTCTGGCTCCTAACCGCTCATACGCCTGCCTGCCTGATCACCCCTAACCACTCTGCCTGCTGGCCTGATTACCCCTAACCACTCTGCCTGCTGGCCTGATCGCCCCCAACTGCCCTCCCCTGCCGGCCTGATCACCCCTAACCATTCTGCCTGCCGGCCTGATCACCCCTAACCACTCTGCCTGCTGGCCTGATCGCCCCCAACTGCCTTCCCCTGCCGGCCTGATCGCCCCTAACCACTCTGCCTGCCCGCCTGCTCCGCCCCAACTGCCCCCACTGCCGACCTGATCGCCCCTAACCACTCTGCCTGCCCGCCTGCTCCACCCCAACTGCCCCCACTGCCGACCTGCTCACCCCCAACTGCTCCCCCCGCCTGCCTGATTGCCCCCCAACTGCCCTCCCCTGCCGGCCCGATCGCCCCTAACCACTCTGCCTGCTGGTCTGCTCCGCCCCAACTGCCCCCACTGCCGACCTACTCACCCCCAACTGCTGCCCCCGCCTGCCTGATTGCCCCCCAACTGCCCTCCCCTGCCGGCCTGATCGACCCTAACCACTCTGCCTGCCCGCCTGCTCCACCCCAACTGCCCCCACTGCCGACCTGCTCACCCCCAACTGCTCCCCCCCCGCCTGCCTGATTGCCCCCAACTGCCCTCCCCTGCCGGCCCGATCGCCCCTATAACCACTCTGCCTTGGCCCCGCCACCGTGGCTTTGTCAGAGGGTCTCCCGGTCTAATTAGCACATCACCCTTTTGTGAGCAGGGACCCCTGGTCGGCAAACGCAGGCTCCTGAGCCACATGCGGCTCTTTTGGCCCCTGTTGAGTGCGGCTCTTCCACAAAGCACCACGGCCCGGGCGGGTCTGTGTGGAAGGAGTGGCGTTAGGAGAAGTTTACGTTTAAAAAAAAAAAAAAAAGGTGGCTTCTCCAAAGAAATGTCAGTCGTTGTGCTGTTGGCATTTGGCTCTGCGGGGCTCATGAGTTTGCCGACCGCGGGTATATAGATCATGCGTATAGAGGAGGGTGCGCATTTTTAACAGAGCGTCTTGCTGCCACCCGCTGGTCAAAGCCAGGAACATCAGCCACGACCTTCCCATTCCGACAGGATGCTGAGCCTTCCGGAAAGCAAGCAGCTCCGCGGGGACAGGCACGGGAGGGGTGGTGGGGGGAGAGGAGCCCCTTCTAACCTCCGCCGTCGGACCAAGCAACACCCTCCTCAGCTAGCGGAACGCCATGACCACCTCTTCGCCTCTCCCACCTTTTACCCACTCGTGCGCGCACCCTGGACGGGGCAGCGCTCAACGGCGCAGTGAAAGCCACGTTACGGGAGACCGCGCGCGCGCGTGGGCCCCTGGTGTGTCCCCTCTGGGTCTTTTCCGGGTTTTACTTACGTTCTGGTGTCACGGAGGAGCTGGGAGAGAGACCACGATTAACACGCAGAGCAGGGATCTGCTCAGCCTCAGGGAGAACCCCGAGAACACACTGGCCGCGCACACGCGCGCGGGGAAACGGCAGCCAGTGGGAAGCGGGGAGGCCTACTCTTTCACGCATTTTTGTGCACCAGGCCTCTAGCGTAGGTGTAATAAATTCCATCTGTTTCTCATAGTCTGTTATATTTGATGAGTTAGTGGCGCTGTATGCTTCTTTTATTTATTTATTTATTTTTTTGACCGCCGTTTTCCTTAATTCTTTGAATACGTTCACAGACAGCTGCTCTAAAATCCGTTCTCCTTCAAGGCGCAGGGTCTTGCCCCCTAGGGATATCAAAGATCGCTGACGAGCCCGGCCAGTGTGGCTCAGTGGTTGAGCATCAAACTATGAAACCGGGCTGATCAGTGACCTTAAGATATAAATATATATATATATGTACATATATTTAATTTATATAAGCATATATAACTTATATTTAATAAAATGTTTAGTTATATATAAAAACATATTTAATTTATATATATGTAAATATGTATATATATATTTTTGTATATATATATATATATATTTTTTTTTTTTAAATTGATTTCAGAGAGGAAGGGGAAGGGAGAGAAGGATAGAAAAAGCAAAGATGAGCCCGGCTGGGGTGGCTCAGTGGTTGAGCGTCGACCTATGAACCAGGAGGTCACGACTGGATTCCCAGTCCGGGCAACATGCCCCAGTTGTGGGCTCGATCCCCAGTAGGTGGCTGATCAACGAGTCTCTCTCCTCATTGATGTTTCTCTCTCTCTCCCCCACTCTCAATAAATCAATACAAATATAAAATAAAATATCTCACACGTATTAAAAAAAAACAAAAAAAAAACCCCACCAACAACATAAAGCATCCAAAAGAAATCTCAAGGAGGTAGATTCAAAACACAGGGCGGCACTGGGACATAGTGACATCCTCCACGCCGCCGCCTGAGCTGTGGAAAGCCCTGCGATTGGGACACGTTTAAAGGGGCCCTGGCGAGGGCGGTCTGCTTGGGCAATGCCGCCGCCGGCGGTGGGGGAAACGTGTGCAATTCTCCGTGGGGCACCCGCGGCCACTTCCGCTTCCGAGGCGTGAGCGGCCGGACGAGGTGACTGACGGGGGGGCTGGGGCTTTGGGTTCAAATCCCCGGCATGACCTCGGCTGCAGATAGACTAGTTACAAGGAGAACTCATCCCTCTGACGATCTGGTTGCAAACAGAACTCTCGGCGTGACTGTGATCGATCTTCACATGGGAGGGGTAATCAGCAGTTGAGCGATGCCAGGCTGGCACGGCTCGGTGGTTGAGCGGAGTCTGCCTGTGAACCCGGAGGTCATGGTTCGATTCCCGGTCGGGCCACATGCCCGGGGCTGTGGGCTCGGTCCCCGGTAGGGGGCGTGCACGAGGCAGCCAATTGATGATTCTCTCTCATGGTGGATGTTTCTCTCTCTCCCTCCCCTTTAGTCTTTGAAATCAATAAAAATATCACACACACACACACACACACACCCCGTGTTTCCCCGAAAATAAGATATCCTCTGAAAATAAGACCTAGCGCATGGAAAGCTAAGACATCCCCTGAAAATAAGACCTAGCGCAACTTTGGAAGAAAAAATTAATATAAGCCGGGACCGGTTTGGCTCAATGGATAAGAACGTCGGCTTGGGGACTGAAGGGTCCCGGGTTTGATTCCGGTCAAGGGCATGGACCTTGGTTGCGGGCATATCCCCAGTAAGGGGGGTGTGCAGGGGGCAGCTGATCGATGACTCTCTCTCATCGATGTTTCTAACCCTCTATCTCTCTCCCTTCCTCTCTGTACAAAATCAATAAAATATCTATTTTTTTAAACAATAAAATATATTTTACCAAAAAAATTTAATATAAGACACTGTCTTATTTTCGGGGAAACAGGGTGTGTGTATGTATATGTGTATATATATATATATATATATATATATATATACACACGTAAACACACACATACACACATGCACACAGATGTAGCACATGAAACACAGTTTCCTTTTAAACTCCTCCTTTGGGGAAGAGAGAGCCTCGCTCCCGGGCAGCCTCACCTCCGTGCTCCAGAAAGACCCGGACGCACCGCTCCTTCCCGCGGGCCGCGGAGAAGTGGAGCAGCGTCCAGCCGTTGGCGTCGCGGCCGTTGGGGGAGTAGCCCTGCTCCAGCATCTTCCTCACGGTGTGCACGTCGCCGGCGGCCACCGCGGCCTGGATCTGCAGCTCCTCCTGCAGCTCGGGGTTCCTCCGGCAGTGGTGGTGCAACATTCTGGCGGTCACAGTGGACGCATCGGGTCTCGGGGGGGGTCAGCCTTGAAGGGGAGGCAGAGAACCGGGGCGTTTAGGACGCGGGGCCACGAGGAACCCAACCTGTCACGACCGAGCCGTTTCCTGTAGGATGATCAAAGATTGCAAAAGAAAGAGCTCAGGGGTTGAGCGTTGGCTCGGTGGTTGAAGCATTGGCTTACGAACCAGGAGGTCCCGGTTCCGTTCCCGGTCAGGGCACAGGCCCGAGGAGTGGGCTCGATCCCCAGTAGGGGGCAGTGCAGGAGGCGGCCGATCCATGATTCTCTCTCATCGCCATGATTCTCTCTCTCCCTCCCTCTCTGAGAGCAATAAAAAAAAAAATAACATTCTAGCCGAAACCGGTTTGGCTCAGTGGGTAGAGCGTCGGTCTGCGGACTGAAGGGTCCCGGGTTCGATTCCGGTCAAGGGCATGTGCCTTGGCTGCGGGCAGATCCCCCAGTAGGGGGTGTGTAAGAGGCAACTGGTCGATGTTTCTCTCTCATTGATGTTTCTAGCTCTCTATCCCTCCTCCTCCCTCTCTGTAAAAAATCAATAAAATATATATTTAAAAAAAAAATAATATTCTAGCCGAAACCGGTTTGGCTCAGTGGATAGAGCGTCGGTCTGCGGACTGACGGGTCCTGGGTTCAATTCTGGTCAAGGGCGTGTACCTTGGTTGCGGGCATATCTTCAGTAGAGGGTGTGCAAGAGGCAGCTGATGGATGACTCTCTCTCATCGATGTTCTAACTCTCTATCTCTCTCCCTTCCTTTCTGTAAAAAAAAAAAAAAAAATCAATAAAATATATTTTTTAGCCGAAACCGGTTTGGCTCAATGGATAGAGCGTCAGCTTGGGGACTGGAAGGTCCCGGGTTTGATTCCGGTCAAGGGCATGTACCTTGGTTGCGGGCACATCCCCAGTAGGGGGGTGTGCAAGAGGCAGCTGATCGATGACTCTTTATCATCGATGATTCTAACTCTCTATCTCTCTCCCTTCCTCTCTGTATAAAATCAATAAAATATATTTAAAAAAGATATATATATATCTATATATTTAAAAAAAAATAACATTCTTTTAGGAAGCCACTCCATCTGGGCTAATTTTGAAGATTAGACTCATCTCCTAGTGGGCTTCCATTTCTAAAAAAATAAAAAATTAAAAAAATTAAGGGATAAAGTTCTTTAAAGACATTTTGGTCTGTTAAGTAGGTTAGACATTGGGGGGGTGGGAGGAGAAGAAGGAGGAGGAGAAGGGGGAGGAGGAGGAGGAGGAGGAGGGAGCTCAGAGCAACCATCTTTAACAGATTCTCCTTTTCATGGTCGATCTACCCTGGCCCTCGTTTGAGGGGGCTCCTCTGCAAGGACAGAACGGTCACACACCATCACACGGAAGCTGGATTTTTCTCGTAGCGAGGGCCGTGTTTAAGTGAGCTGATTGGAGGGGCGAGAGTCAAGGTTAAAGCCCCCCTCCCTCCCCCCCCCCCCCCCCCCAGAACAGTCCGGGGCCCCGGGGCCCGCCAGCGGCTCACCTTCGGGAAGGAAGTGCCTTTGCCCGGGCGGGCGCTGCCTACCAGGCATGGTGCACATACAGCATCGTGGGGCGCGGGCTCTGCCTCCGGACACCGACCGGCTTCCTGGGCCTGGAAACGAGGGACACGCACGCGTGGGGAAACGCCGGAAGGCGATAGAGACTCGCTCGCGCCCGCCCGTCCGCCCGCATCGCCTGGTGTTTGTTTCAGCACCTTGCGGGGCAGGGACAGAGCCCAGGTCAAGTCTTAAGAGAAAACGGCCTGGAGACCTCCGTTCGGTACAGGATCACCTCCGTATTTATTTATTTATTTTTATTATTAATTACAAAAATTAATATATTGTATTGATATTTCACAGAGAGGAGGGAGGGAGAGGGAGAGAGAGCTAGAAACGTCGATGAGAGAGAAACGTCGACCAGCTGCCTCTTGCACGCCCCCCACCGGGGATGCGCCCGCAACCAAGGTACATGCCCTTGACCGGAATCGAACCCGGGACCCTTCAGTCCGCAGGCTGACGCTCTATCCACTGAGCCAAACCGGTTTCGGTTATTTTTAAAAAATATATACTTCTTTATTGGTTTCAGAGAGGAAGAGAGAAGGAGAGAGAGAGAGAGAGAGAGAGAAACATCAATGATGAGAGAGAATCATGGATCGGCTGCCTCCTGCACGCCCCCCACTGGGGATCAAGCTGCAATCCAGGCCTGTGCCCTTGGCCAGGATCGAACCTGGGACCCTTTAGTCCGCAGGCTGAAGCACTACCCACTGAGCCAAGCCGGCTAGGGGGAAAAAAAATCACTTATTTTTCAGGGGAAAAAAAATGTTTTCCCCCCCTCTAAAGAGGCAGGGCATTTTTGGAAAAAGAATAAACATAATAAATCACACATTGGCTCTATTCAGAATATATTTTCAGACTTGCCTTATTTGAATTAATGAAAAAAAAAAAACCTCAATCAAGGATATGTTTTATTAATTCGAGAGAGAGGTGGCGGGGGGGCGGGGGGAGAGACAGGAGGGAGAGAGAGAAACATCAATGTGAGAGAGAAACATGGTTCAGTTGCCTCCCGTGCGGCCCCAACCGGGGATTGAACCCACAACCTGGGTCCATGTTGTGACCAGATATCAAACCTGTAACCCTGGAGGCACAAGAGAAAGCTATGGCTGGGCAGGGCAATTATCTTCCGTTGTTATTAATCCTCACCTGAGGGTAGTTTTTCCTCCATTGATTTTCAGCAAGAGTGAGAGGGAGGGGGAGGGAGATGAGAGAGAGAGAGAGAGAGAGAGAGAGAGAGAGAAATAGCAATGCAATAGAGACACACGAATTGGCTGCCTCCCACACTCGCCCCAAATGGAAAATGGGATCGAGCCTGCAACTGAGGTACGTGCCCTTGACCGGAGTAGAACTTGGGACCCTTCAGTCCTCGGGCCTTACACTCTAACCACTGAGCCGCACTGGCCAGGGCCTGAATTCCTTTTTTTAAAGGACACCGTGGGTCACCTGTCTTTTTCCAGGCAGGACCACGATGAGAAAACGTGTGCGACCAGTACAGCAGGTGGGCAGAGCCGAGAGGGAACGCGTGACCAGCAAAAGGCGGTGGTGATTTTTAAATGCCGGTTCTTCCGTCCGTCCGTCCAAGAGGCATCACGTGAGTCACTTTCAAACTGTCATTCCCGGGCGCACACACCCCAGTGAGTAAACGATTAACAAAGGTCTGGCCAGCTTCCTTCTGTGAACTCGGGGGAAAAAAAATCCCTCTATAACTGCAAGAAAAGGGATCCTGCCCGGCGGGTGTGGCTCTGTGGCCGAGCCTCGCCTAGAGCCAGGAGGTTGGGGTTCGATTCCTGGTCAAGGGCACAGGCCGGGGTGTGTGTGTGTGTGTGTGTGTGTGTGTGTGGCTGATCCCCAGGGGAGGGCGTGCAGGAGGCAGCCGATCTGTGATTCTCTCTCCTCATGGATGTTTCTCTCTCTCTCTCTCTCTCTCTCCCCTCCCTTCCTCTCTGAAACCAATAAAAATACGTGTTAAAAGATGAAGCCAGAGGCACGCACAGTGACGACGTGTGAGGGTCCCGAACGGGCGGAGCGGAGGTTCGCTGGGTGCCTGGCGGGAACCTGCCACCGTTAGGCCCGGCCCCGCGTGGGGCCCCTGGTTTGAACTCGACCGGACAGCTCTGCCGGCTTACAACGAACCAAGTAATTCTGGAAACGGCTCATCACGTTCCCCTTTTCTGACAATACCCGCCGCTATAAACAATAACCGTCGGTTTAAACCCCAAAAGCACTCTTTACATGCAGGGATCTTCACAGGAAAAACACATGGACACACACATGCCATGCACACACGGACACACACACACCATGCACACATGGACACACACACACACACCATGCACACACGGACACACACATACCACGCACACATGAATTCACATACCGTGCACACATGCACTCACATACGGTATGCACATGACACACATACCATACACATAGACACATACCACGCACACAAGGATTCACAGACCGTGCATACATGGACTCACAGACCATGTACATACGACACACATACCACGCACACATGGACCCACACCATGCACACAGACACACATGCCACACACACGGACACACACATATACCATGCACACATGCATTCACATCCCATGCACACATGGACTCACATACGGTGTACACATGACACACACACCATACACATAGACACACATACCATGCACACAAGCACTCACAGACCGTGCATACACGGACTCACAGACCATGCACACATGGACTCACATGCCATGCACACATGGACTCACACACCATGCACACAGACACACCTGCGCATGCACACATGAACCCTGGCGGCTGCAGCCCTTACGTTATGAAGGGTGCCATGACTTATGGCCAAATGTCCTGAACAGTCCAAAGCGTCAGACAATGCGCTTGACCTCGGCGCTATCCCGTGGGCGTTTGTACTCACTGCAGCACAGCTGCCCGCGTTACATAAATAAGGGAAACACATGACGATTGATCTTAAAGGGCAAAGGGGGCCACGGAGAACCACAGAGGGGGTCCAGGCGTGAGAGTGAAAAAACAACAGCCTGTTTCCTCTCCAGGGAGCAGGTGTGCGGACCTGACAGCTCACGGAAACCGCCACGAGGAACGGACCACGAGGAACGTGGCCTGGGCGGGGGGCGGGTTGTACACAAGGAAATGCACAGTGGGAATTGTTTTACATGAATGATGACTCAGAATGACCAAAACTCTGAAGGTGCAGTCTTTAGAAACTCCATTTCAGGTTTTAGTTAGGGAAAAAAAAAAAAAAAAAGCACAGAAAGCATACTAACAAGGAAGACTTAAGAATTATATGCCAAATGAGCCACTTCCCTGATGTGTGTGTGTGTGTGTGTGTGTGTGTGTGTGTATATTTAAAATAATATTTGTATTGATTTTAGAGAGGGAGAA